CGAAATACAAAGGGTCGGTTTGTACTCGAAAACTTTCTGAATTATAAGGAGAAGAATGTTTAATGTCCAGCTGTTAGAAAAAAAACGTGCTTGGATATTTATACATGGAGAGATAAAGAATTATGTATTGATTGGGGGATTAAAAATTCAACGATAGCGAGATGATATTTTCATCATATAAATCCCTATTTTTTTAAGCAATAGAGAAAAATTGTACCGTATTTCTAAAGAAAATCACATTTGATAGAATACAGATTAATCTAAATAAGTACGAAAAATTGAGATTTCTTTGTCGAAAATTAAGGAAGATTAATCTTTAGAATTCTAAAGAGGGAGGTAAAAATTAAACTATTTTTTTTCGTAAATTTCAGATAAATTGGATTGGTGGATATTTTCCACTAATAAAATGGATATTTATTTTTTATCTGTATCCTTATAAGGGGATGAAACCAATCCCTATTTCATTTTTTTTTATTTTTAGAGTATATGTTTATATAAGAAACCCTTCTTAATTTTCGACAAAGGATCATCTAAAATTTTTTGCATTTATTTAGATACACTCTGTACATTTATCAAGAAAATTTGTCAAGCGTGACGAGATATATTATTTGATATTAAATATTTTTATATTATTAAATCAAATCGGTGATTCAGCAATATTATTTAAAATTTATTTATTATTCCTTTAGTGTTAAAAATTTTAATTTATTCATTTTTTTTATTTATTTTAATTAATTTTTTTAATTTACTTCTCTTCATTTCCTTATTTTTTAAACTAATAATTTTTTCTCGAGAAAAAATATCAAGACAAAAAATAATATAATATATACAAGTCAAATTGCCGATTGAATAATTTCATTACAAAAAATTTGTAGTTTTATTTTATTCATCTGAATTAATCTTTTAAATTTACTTCTGTTCATTCTCTTATTTTTAAAATTAATAATTTTCGTCTTAAAAAAATATGAAGCCAAAAGATAATATAATTTATACAATATCGAATTCTGTATATGTCACATGTGTATGTTTGACACATCCGATACATCCGACGCGGTCTGTGAAATGTGTTTCGCAGGCCAGGTGCATCGAGATGCGTTCAACCACAAAACGCAGAACATGTCGCACTTGCATATCTCACTCTCTATCTCTCTATCCCTTTCGCGCGCGCGCATCGAATTTCCAAAATAAAGATCGGCTTCAGATATTCTTTTCGAGAGAGATTGATCCTACTCTTTTGTCCGATCGAGCGCTGTCGAGAATTTAATTAACGTCAACTCGAACACGCGTTTCGAACTCGCTCGCCTCTTGGTCTTTTGTGCTAGTTGCGGCCACCGATGTGCTCTCGACTTGTCTTCTTCGCTGTTGTTTGCGAAACACTCGATGCCGTTTCAGTTATTCGACTGAAATGGAGCGAGCGCGATATAAAAGTGCTCTTTTCTCCCTCGAGCGTCGATATATCGGTCTGCGAGAATTTTTTTTTTTTTTTTTTTATTACGATTTATTTTATGTACCTATCATCACAATTATATTTTTTCCCTCGGATTTTGAATACACTTTAAAAATATTGATTTAATATTATTTATTTTATTTTATTTATATTTATTTAATATTATTTTTATTATTTATTAATTATTAAAAATTAATTATTAATTTTATTTTATTCACTGATGTTCAATCTGATGGCAATTAACTGAATTTCTCGTCCGAGCTACTATTTCTTCATTATCGATTCTTACCGGAAGTAAGCGGGGGCTTCGAGTGCCGTTTAAGGGTTAATGGGGAATTCAGCCCACAGGGATTTACAACGATTAGTCTTTCCCTTCGTCGGGAGACGCAGACTAATTGTGCAGATTGCCAATTTCGCGGTGGATCTTACTTCAAGTAAGCGCTCGGCTGAGAAATTGCGGAGCAAAGTATAACGTGTGAATAATATATGGAAAGGTTGCATTTCGCACTTACAAAGAAAAAGAGGGTGAGAATGCAAGGTGAATCCTGAATATCATGTTTTTTCTTGAGCTTGAATTTACCGATTTTTTATTTATTGTAATTGCAATTTTTTTTTAATTCGCTCAAAGTCACTAATTATAAGATAAATTTACATTATCTCGAATTAATATCATCAAGCTACACTGTAAAAAGTGTGCAATGTATTACATAAAAATATGTAAAGTTACACTTGTTATTTGTTTTACATATTTTTAATGTAATTTTACATACTTTTTTACACACTGTAAAAAAATGTGTAAAATTACATTAAAAATATATAAATTACACTTATTATTTATTTTACATATTTTTAATGTAATTTTACATATTTTTATGTAATATATTACATACTTTTTTACAATACAGTATAGGTACACTGTATAAAAATATGTAATATATGTAACATAAACATCTGCAAAATTACATAAATAATAAATGTAAAATTACACGATAAATAATGAAAAAGTATACAATTTTGTTATTTACATTGTAATTTTACACTTATTTATGTAATTTTACATATTTTTGGAGTGTAGATGATTATGTCACATCTCGTGTTTATCGGATTTTTTACAATTTTATAGTCACTTCAATTTGAATTTTTGACACTAACAATCTTGATAATTAAGTTTCTGGAGTTTCATCTTTATGACGAATGTATATCCCGCGAAGATCCAATCGTGAGTCTTACCGAAGGACTTGTAAGTTGCGCTGCGCGTTAATGAGTGAACATAATTAATGTCGGTTCTTGCTGAAGACAACATCAGATAGCGGAGGAGTTTCCGAACTTCTCGAAATATCGCGACTTCGCGGCGGGGTCAATTAATCTCAATCGATATCGGGCTAGGCTTGTTTTCACACTTAATGATATATCACGTTGCCTTAGCAAAATTAACAGCCCAATTTAATATAAATAATGATTAAGGGACAAAAAAGTCGCAAAGTCCTCAGAGAGATTTAACTTATCTGACGCAAAAAGGTCACTCTCTATCTTCACGATTATCTCTTGTCTTAATAATATTTTTTTCTAGAGACGGAAAGGGAAATTCAAAGTTGTTAATTTAAATAAAAATAAGTGGAAGAGAAATAAAATTTGAAAAATGAATTAAAAAATAAAAGTATATGAATTAAGAATTCTTTGCAGTAAAAAATTATTCGATGATATTATTAAATCATTAATTTGATTCAATAATACAAAAATATTTAATATTAAATAATATATCTTAACATTTTCTTGATATATATATATATTAAAAAAAATGATTCGATAATATTGTTAAATCAGCACAATTGGGGTTTGACAATAAAAATATATAACACCAAATCTATCTTGACGCTTGATATCTCTGTTAAAAAAATTCTTTCGTACGCAGCGGAATTATTCGACGAGATCGTTAAATCAGCAATTTGGTTTAAAAAGCAATCATTGAAATCGCGACGTCGTGTCGCCTGTCGGTTAACTCTTTTCCACAATTGACGGTGAAATTCAGCCCGCACGTTTAAACGGGTTCCATGTCGGGGTCAACGTTGGGACAGGCAGCGAACAACGTATGGAAAACTAAATAATTAGCGCGACGATGGTGAACGGTCGATCGGGCGATTAACGCGGCGGCGACGTACACAATTGATTTTCTGATTGGGCGTCCTGTCCAGTGAAGGGAAAAGGGGAGTTCATCCGTCCATATATCGGTGTGGGATGTACATATATATATATCGCAATATTCGCTGGTTCACCATCACCTGTGTCGGGGTTCGATATCAACGCGACGTGACGAACCGCGGTTTCGCGCATGCGCAAAATCGACGGCGCGATCGTGCTTTTATTTTGGCAAACGATAGAAGTTATAGGTTTCCGCAAAAAACGCGAATATTCGCGTCGTCCGATTGCGAAAGCTTTATTTAGGATCGCATCCGGATATATATCGGGTTGCGGTAAAATTATGTGCAATCGCGATGATAAAATTCCGTACGGAGGAATATATTTAAGAAAATTATCTCTCTCAAATGTATACATATATATATATATATATATTTTCGATCTGGAATTTTTCTAGAATTTTTTTGTCGCTCTTAATAAAATAGGAGATGCGCTGAAAAGTGGTCGGACAGTGGTCACGTTTCCGTCGAAATAATATTGAAGGATATTATAAGAGGAAGCTTGTTGTATCTCTTTAATTATTGCGCGGCGAGTTTACACAACATGCCAGGAACAACGAAAGGATTTAGGGGTCTTTTTCCTTTTTTTGTTTAAAGAGGGGGATATTTTTCTTCATCCTCGTATACATCGATAAATACTATAATGTCCAATATATTAACGATTTGTTCACTTTTCGAGCTCTTCTTATTTTTCATCAGAAATATCTCTTCATCGCTTGACACATTATTTGCACATGAGCACCATTTTTTTCATATGTGATAACAGCTTATATATATATATATTTTTTTTTTTACGCGCGCGTACACATATATACACACAAACGCAGATACATACACACACACACACACACATACATGCATATATGCATTCTATGCTTTTAATTGTAATTATAATTAAATGCACGCTGTTTCGTTTTTTATGTACAAACTCCTCCTGATATTCCGTGCGGGATTTAATTAGGGGAAATTCAAATGAGAATTTAATTAGTCGGCGATAGTTTATCGAGTGATTTTGCGGTTACACGAAGCGTGCTTGGAGGTACTAGGTTAGTTTCCTTATTAGGCTACTGGAGTCAGATTGTTCGCTCGCGTTTCGAGTTCTCGCGCGATTAGGCTATCAGATATTCAGATTGCTCTAAATGCACATAAAACGTTCGAAAAATATTGTAGAGTACGTTTATGAAGAAAATCTCTAATAAATTCGATTATCGCGAGAAGAGTCCAAGCAACGAGAATCGAGATTTCATCGAAATCAAGCATTGTTTAAAAATCGCTATCAAAGATTCTGGGAGAGAAATGGAATTTAATTATTGATATTAAACCTCAAATTAATAAAACAGAAACTATTATTAAATATGATATAATTTGTACTATCAAAAATATAAACTAATTCAAATAAAAATAAGAACTAAATTTTCGTAATATAAGATATGCTTTAAGTTATGAATTATTTTTAAATATGTAACTATTAAAATAGGCATCATTATATTACACATTATTGCATATTGATATGTAATCGATATGAGATAGGAGCCGCTAGGAAGATTTAAAAAATATTCTTAGCTCGTCGAAAAATTATCGAATACGAAACGTTAACAGGAGTCGCTAATAGGAAGATTCGCGATAGAGACCTGTGAATTTCTCAACGATATCGGCGACATGTGTCCGACGATCTGGTTCGAAGCTATTCGGACTCGTTCGAACTCGTTCGAACTTATTCAAACTAGCTCGGATTCATTCGAACTCATTCGGATTCATTCGAACTCATTCGGACTCGTTTGAACTCATTCAGACTTGTTCCAACTTGTTCGTACTCGTTTGAACTAATTCGGACTCGTTTGAAATCACTCGTTCCAGAACGAACCAATCGCGCGAGTAGAATCAACACCCTTTCGGAGTTTATCTTCGTCTCGCTTTCGAACGATTCGCATCGATTTCATCGATTCCTTTTATACCCTGCTGACGGAAATCCCCGGTTTCCCGGGCCCAGGGCCTACCTGGCCGGTCGCCACGCCTGATTGCGATACCTGCACAGCAGGACCTTCTTGAAGGCCTGGCGGAAGACCTTGTTGAAGATGGTGTAGAAGATCGGATTGACCATGGAGCTGGCGTAGCCGAGCCAGGTGACCAGGTCGAAGATCTTACGGTCGATCCGGCGCTCGCAGTCGGGACACACCGCGGGCACCAAGTTCAGGACGAAGAACGGTGCCCACAAGATCACGAACGTGAAGAATACCACACCCAGCACCTTGGTCGCCTTCTGCTCGAGCCGGATGATCCTTCCGTGGCGGGAACTGTTGCGCGACACCACGCTGCTGTTGCGTGAGTGGTGGCTACGAACCTGGCCACCCGTGTACCTCAATAGATTCGGCGATGACGGATTGTTCTGCTTCAGGGATAGGCTCGTCGTCGCCCCGTTGTGCGCCCGCATTGTCGCCGCGCGTCGCAGAGGCGTCGCCCTCATGGGGGTGGTTAGTAGAGTCTTGGTGCTGCCTGCAAGGATCCGAAAGGATATGATGAGTCTGTGAGGAAAGTTGAATTGGAGTGTTGAAAAGGTTGAAATTTGAAGATTTTTAGGTGGAAGTCATAAAGATTTAGGGATTTTGGTGCTAGGGTTTGAAAATTTGAAGGTTAATTGGAAACTATATAGTATAAATTCAAGGACGATCTAATCTTAGATCTAATTTTATACGTGAAAGCATATGTTTGCTATTCTTGGATTTAAATTGAATAATTCAAGATTGGCTAAGTTTCCAAAAATTTAATCTGAGATTTAAATAATATGAATTTTAAATTAATTAGAAATTTTAATTACAATTATACTATTGTGTTAAAAAAGGTAATTGCTTATCAACTGAACACACAATTAACGAATTTTAATTTTGGAATATCAAACACGAAGGTTCGAAAATTCAATTTTATAAGGGCTTCCCGTAATCTTTGTTACAAATCTTCCGGATCCGCGTTATCGCCAATCTTTCAGTTGTGCTAAAATCCTGGGGCGATCGTCGAAAGGCAACGATCGAGAAGCTTTCCGCGAATGACCATGAATCAACGCTCTCTCCTCGAACGGATCTCTCCATTTTCCCCAGGTCATAAAAAGGGGTGATCGAAACGAGAGAGGATCGGGGCAACCGTTTGCACCCTCTCTCTTCCGTCTAACCACCCTCTCGAGAGCTCGCCCATCCCTCTCTTTCTCTCTCGTTTCCGCAATTTTTAGCGGAACGTTGGGGCTAGCACGCGATGGCTAGGAGTGGAGTTTCCCGGAGGCAATTATCGAGGAGCTAATCGAAAACCCGCTGTTGTTTATTACGTCATCGTCATCACTTATCGGCACGTACCCAGGCTGGAGCCTCGCCTTCCACCTCGCCACGTGACCACGGAATTCGCGAGGGTCAGTTGCTCGTAATTCTTCACGCCCTCCGTAGCAGTTCTGGCACTATTGTTCCTCCCTAGCAGACCCAATTCCGGGCTCTTGTTGGGCCTGATCGCGGCGTCGCTCATCAGACCTCCCACCTCCAGGCTTTTATTTCCGATTGGCTTCATCGTGTCGCTGGAGACGATGACGATCTCGCTCGAAGGTGGTGGCTTCTTCGAGGATTCCCCGAAGTAGGGACACGTGCACGGCGGCGGAAGAGTTATGGGTCCGTCCGGCATTTTGTTCTGGCACTTTTTGCGCGTCGCCGAGTCGTCCTCGTTCCTGCGGCAGGACGACTGCTCGTGGAAGCTGAAGGACCTCTTTCTAGGGGCCTTCGGCGAGCCCAGAGTCTGGCTTGTTCTCTGCAGGTGGGCCTCGTTGTAGGTCGAGGCTCGTCTCCGCTGCTTCCAAGGACTCGCGAAGGACTCCTCCTGCGACAGGCTTGTCCTGGAACAGGACATGCTGCTCTCGGTACTTTCCGCGCTCCTGGAAACAAATAACGATCTGGTGTAATGAAGCAATAGGAGCAATCAGTTGTCAAACGGTTATTATTTAACTATCTTCGGTGACATTAGTCACAAAACAACGATCTATAAATAACAATTTATTTTTTTTTTTTTAATGCATTAATATAAATATAATTATTGTGTTGTAAAATTTTGATGTGTTTATTATAGGAAATGTATATTTATTTTCTATCACAATTTTATATAAACATAATGATGTATGTATTATTAAAATATTAGTATCAAGATTATGAATAAATGTGGTTAAATTGATTATGTCATGACATTTTTAACGATTATTTATAACGTTAAATAATGAGATAATAATTGTTATTTGTTGGAGGATAAATAAAATAACATCGATTACAGGGATAATAAACAGTATATAATAATGGGTAATATAATATACAGTTAGAGTATACAATAATATATACATTTTATTTGTTATATGTATGGAATCTTGATATCAAATGTAGATGTTCATGTGAGACTAATTTAAAATTCTCTTTTTTATCGAAAAATTATTTATCTGCGATCTATTATTATTTTACACTTGATAGAGGATCTTTCTATTGTTTACGAGATTGGTGAATCGACGAGAAAAATGTTTGGAAAGTTTCACGTGTGACAAAACTTTTTGTTTTATCGATTGTAATCGATATCGAAATAATTTATATCCGCAGTGCGATAAAAAAAAGGATGAATCGAGAGATTAATGCTCGAATTCTGTCATTTTATACACATATATATATTTTTTTTTCTCCCGCAGTTGAATAATTTTTCTCTCTCTGTCTTTTTACCGATTACAAATCAAATCAGATAGAAAAGGAGGGATATATCTGAAAAGCTTCACGCGCGACAAAAGGATCTTCCTTATCAATCGCAATCGAGTCGAAAATAATCCCTCTACGTGCTACGTAAATTGAAACAACCCGAATGGTTTCAACCAGAGCGAGAGAAAAATTAATTCTATGAGCCCTTTATTACTTGCCGTGGGATAATCCTCTTATTGCTCGAACTTATCGTTTGAAAGCCCATTGAAAGAGAAAGCGAGAGAGAGAGAGAAAGAGAGAAGGCATAAAATATTTGGATATTTCTCTTTTGTGCGAACCGAGACTTCAAAGGAAATCTACAAATACATCCGCCGTTACAAAACATACTTGAATCTATACTTGTATTGTTCGAACGCGGGTCCCTTTATCATTCGATACAGCGTGCAATTTTCAGAGAAAAAAGACGGAAAATGAAAGAGGGGAAAAAAAAGAAGGGAAACGCGATTGCGTTCCATTTTTCAACGGGGTGAGTAATTGATCGCGAGATTGGATGAGTTAGTTGTGCGCGAGCGCGGAGAAAAAAATCGCTGCCGTGTCCTGGCGAATTACGGACACGTTGTTGCGGCCGCGACGCTTTTGACAGCCGCGAGATTTCGAGGGAGTTGCGTCATCGGTGCCTGTTATCGGTCTTATCCGAATTCATACGCGCGATATCCCCTATTTTCTCACCTCGATTCGCGAATAAGATTCGAATCGGAAACGGTAACGGGAAAATGTAAAGACAATTTTGAGAAATTTTTGATAGAAAATCACACTTGGTCCAGTAAATTAGACTTTGACTTCATAAAAATTAGGATCAAACTGAATTTTTGTGGATACCTTTATTTCGATGTTCTAATGAAATTCTGAAAAGTACCCTTAATTTCATCCAGGGTGTTTTTTTTTTAGTTTTTTGTCATTATCTCGAAAATTATGAATTTTTCCAGAGAAATAGTTATTATCAAAATTGTAGCTCATAAAATTCTCTACAAAAAAGGTTATTATACTTTTTCTCGTACAACTAGTCGTTTTTGAGTAAAACGTGCGGTGAAGTTGCAATGTCTGTAGTTTGTTATATAATCGTTGACTTAATTCGTTCTATATCTTTGAAACGATTAATTCCACGGAAAAAGTATAATGACCTTTTTTGTAGGGAATTTTATGAGCTATAATTTTGATAATAACTATTTTTCTCGAAAAATTAATAGTTTTCAATATAAAACTAAAATTTATCCTCTTTTACCCCCTATAAAAAAACGCCCTGGATGAAATTAAGGGTACTTTTCAAGATTTTATTCCACAAAAATTCAGCTGGATCCTAATTTTTATGAAGTTTTGCCCTTTTTAAGTCTAATTTTACTGGAGTAACTATAAAAGAATTAATTATTATTAATAATATATACTATATATATATTTTTTTAAATAATATTATTTATATTATAAATTTTTTTGTAGTATAATTTTCTATAAAATTTCGAATTTTCTTTACATTATTCCTTTCATTATTTTCAATTTTCATTTATTATTTAAAATATACATAATGCATATTTTAAAAATTAATAACACTATTAATATGAAAAAATGTAGAGATTTTATAGAGAAATGGATGATAAAGAGGAATTAAAACGTAATGCAATAGAAACACAGTTTTAAATTAAAAAGAGATTAGTACGTAATAATGTAAAATTGTTAATAGAATTTTTAATATATGAAAAAATTTCGTACTTTTAAATAAATTATATTAATATATAAAATTTCGGAGTTTCTGGGAAATTTGTACGATTCTTTTTTAAAAGTTGGAATTATTGAGAGTAGTTTTGCACCTTTATTTTTTTGGCTCTTCGTAGCTGTTATCCGAAGATTGACAATTTTATCAGCGTTTCGGAGACGCATGTCGACGGGGTTTTTCGGGGATAATTGAGGATGCTCTTTTTCGGAAGAGGAAGAGAAACGGTCCCGATTGTCCTCGGAGTGGATTACGACCACGGTCTTGACGGCAAATTGAGAAAAATATTGGCTGAGACAAACCGAGGAGAATCGAGAGGGAAGAGGGAGGAGTTCTCGTCTGATCGCGAACAGAAGACAGATGCATCTCGGCAAGTGCATTTGAAACTGGGAATTTGATTCGATTTATTTCTGCTGTCACGAAATTATATACAATATATGCATATCAAATTATTAGCAAGAAATATTTTCATTAAAAATTTTTTATTTTTTATTTCAGAAGAAATCCTCATTAAAATTTATATTAATTTTTTTCATTAATTTATAAATTCAAATTTACCCTTCTATTATATTTGATTTATTTATCTTTCTTTAAATTGTGTGTAATTTTAAGTTTATTTTAATAAAAAATTTTAAGTTACAAATAAGATATTAAAAATTAGAAACATAAAAATATAAACAAGATATTTTCGCTAAGGAAACAATTTTATATTTTTTAATTTCAGAATAAATCCTCATTAAAATTCATATTTATTTTTTTCATTAAATACAGATAAAAATTATTTGTATTAAAATTTACTTTCTATTATATCTGATTTATTTATCTTTCTTTAAATTGTGTGTAATTTCAAGTTTATTTTAATAAAAAAATTATAAGTTACAAATTATTAAAAATTAGAAACATATACCAGAAATATAAACAACATATTTTCACTAAAGAAACAATTTTATATTTTTTAATTTCAGAATAAATCCTCATTAAAATTCATATTTATTCTTTTCATTAAATTCAGATAAAAATTATTTGTATTAAAATACTTTCTATTATATCTGATTTATTTATCTTTCTTTAAATCATGCATATAATTTCAAGTTTATTTTAATAAAAAATTTTAAGTTACAAATAAGATATTAAAAATTAGAAACATAAAAATATAAACAAGATATTTTCGCTAAGGAAACAATTTTATATTTTTTAATTTCAGAATAAATCCTCATTAAAATTCATATTTATTCTTTTCATTAAATTCAGATAAAAATTATTTGTATTAAAATACTTTCTATTATATCTGATTTATTTATCTTTCTTTAAATCATGCATATAATTTCAAGTTTATTTTAATAAAAAATTTTAAGTTACAAATAAGATATTAAAAATTACAGAATAAATCCTCATTAAAATTCATATTTATTCTTTTCATTAAATCAGATAAAATTATTTGTATTAAAATACTTTCTATTATATCTGATTTATTTATCTTTCTTTAAATCATGCATAATTTCAAGTTTATTTTAATAAAAATTTTAAGTTACAAATAAGATATTAAAAATTAGAAACATAAAATATAAACAAGATATTTGTTGGACTAGAACTCGCGGGAGAGAAAGAGACTATAAATGTAACGATATAACACAACTGTAACAGAGAACAAGAGATAGAGATAGAGAGGGTTGGAGGTGAAATAAACGATCTGAGAGATCTCGGGACACTTCTCGTTTATTCGATTCGAGGAATCGAAGCGACAGGAAGCGACTTGACGCCGCAAAAGGCGAAGCAATAGAGAGGTAATCTTCGTTTGATGCGTTCAGAGGTGCATGATTCTAAGTGCATTCCTTTATTAAAGGTTCACGCGGAGGGGCGAGAGCAGTTTACTTAAGTACACACGACCACGGCTCCACCCTCTTTCCCTTTCCACCCTTCCCTTTTGCTCGCCCTTTTCTCCGGGGTTGGTTCTGGTTTTGCACTTTGAATGTCGCGGCAGCTAAGTGCAATCCACTTTGGGTCCACCGTGTATAAATGGGTTTTCTCGTAGTCGTGACCTTTCTAACGCATCCGCGCTTTTTGTGTTTTCGTTAGCGAGAACACGGAGAGAATTTTCGGATGATTCAATCGTCGCCGAGGGTTTTTTCGAAAAATTACGAGAGACGGGAAATGGTCCAGGAAAATTAAACTTTGACTTCAAAAAAATTATAATCAAACTGCATTTTGTGGAGACCTTTCTTTCGATGTTCTAATGAAATACTAAAAAGTACTCTTAATTTCAGCCAGGGCGTTTTTTTTATGGGGGGTAAAAGGGAGGAAATTGATAGTTTTTTGCCATTATCTCGAAAACTATCAATTTTTCGAGGAAAATAGTTATTATTAAAATTGTAGCTCATGAAATTCCCTACAAAAAAGGTCATTATACTTTTTTTGTGGAATTAACCGTTTCGAAGATATAGA